AGAACATGAAGGCACTTTAGAGGTAACAACACCAATAGTTGAATATCTTTAATGGTGCAGTAAGTTTCTAGAGGACTTCAAACGTCCTAACTACTTAAAGAAAATTGTATTTCGATATCACAACTACCAAGAGAAATTCACCACCAACAGCACCGCCGCTACCACCACCAACACCATCACCACTAATAAATTAATGAAACACACTTGAATGAATAATATCCAATAAGTATGAGAATTGAACAAGTTGTTATGCCTATCATCAGCAATGGTTGTAAGTGTCTGAGTAATAGCTCCGATATATTTAGCAATCATTGAGATAGATATAACAACTGTATAAGATATACACAATAAATTTTTCGACTAGACACAATTACTAAATAATATTCAACAATTATGAAAGTTACTGCAACAAGTTCGAATTTCTTAAGGCAGAAGTATTCTGTCAAAATAAATTTTACGAAATAGAAATATAGAATGATGCTTACTGAGTCAGTATGGTGCTTAAAAAGAATCATCAATGTCAATCACTTTATTTTGTTTTTCTATTTTTTGCATCAAGCTATCTAAAAATTCTTTAAGAAGTTTATTCTTGTGATAATTCCTTAATTGAGTTCGAAGATGAAAAATAACTTCAAATGCCCAAACCTATATAAAACAAAATCACCAAATATCAAAATAATGAATAATGAACTCAATAATCATAAAATTAGAAAACATTAAATAAATTTATCATGAAAGTCCATAAAAAGTCATAGAGATTGATGATTTTCACTGTTGGACTCAAATCCCTCAAGAAATATTCAATGGTGAGGTTGAAGCTTTCTTAGGCCCCATGAATAGGCACAAGATGTTTTGCAGTCAATACAGAGCTCAATCTAGTTAAAAGGATTTTTTTTGCCTGAATCACGTCCACACAAAAAAATTGTGCACAAACCAAAGTAAACACAATAACTTTGTGTAACTTTTTTCAACCTCATCGGGTTTTAGATCTAAGGGCAATCAAATTCTTCTCTTTGAAGCTCTTTCCAGCCAATTCAAGCAATTTGCTATGTCTCTCAACAACCTTAACATACTTGGATGACTTTTTTAACTGACAACATTAAGAGTAGTATGACATATTAAGAATGTGATAGTGGCAAATTCTTTCATGTCAAAATAAATAGGCATGCCACAATAGATGATCCAAAGTTTCTTTCTTATCACTAATAATTGTACGTCGAAGAAGTTGATATACCAATTTCATATGAAATCGTGCATTTGTTTTCTCGAACAGATTTAGATACTTTTCAAATATACTAGATCGGAAGAATTATTTTAATTTTTTATCCTTAAGGATCTTTCTAAAATCATTGGAAAAAAATTCATTCCTGATCAAACAACATCATCACCCTTCAAATCGGGATGCTTATCCTTCGATATATGCACATTGTAATATAAAATTTAATAGAATTGATCACTAGATTTATTGAAGGACTTCCATGAGGTGGCTCGACAGTAGAAAATGAAGGAACATACCTATCAAGAAGTTATTTTGTTCTTTGTTCACGCAACACAAATTCATCCGCATGGACAACCTAGTCATCATCTTTGATAGTAGGAAAATCTTTACCTTCAAAATTATTTTGGTGTTTTGATGTGCTTGCCTATTTTGAAGAAGAATTAGCTCTATTAGCTACACATTCTTCTTCTTGTGAAGACTGCTTCCTTGTTGATTGATGTTGGGCCTCAGAACCATCATATGTATGTTTAGGGCTTTAGACTGCAGCACTATCTGTCATTGTGGCATGCTTAAGAAATAATGTCAATTTATTAGTAGATGTTGCTTCTTCTTCTACTACATTTTTTTGAGCTTGTGAACAGATTCTTCTAGATTTTTTAGGAGTATTGCTCGAATTAATGTTTCTCTTCGTTGGAGCCATTTTATCTACACACATAAGATAAAACACAAATCATCAATTAATATAACTAATTCTTCAATAAAATACAAAAATAAACTACTATAATGGATTAAATAAATACACAAATTAATAATTTTTTCAAACAAATGAGTGGATTGTTACAACAACTTAGGCAGTAACAACTTAAGTTGATGCAAAAACAACTTAAGGTTGCAACTTAAGAAATTAAAATTGTAGAAACTTAAGTTGTTGCTTCATCAACTACTTAAATTGTTGCAGTAAATCTCTTAGGTTGCAACTCAAGGAACTTACTGCAACAACTTAAATTGTTGTTTCATCAACTACTTAAGTTGTTGCAACACCTTAAAGTTGTAACTCCACAGATTTACAACAACACCTAAAACAATTGTTTAATCAACTACTTAAGTTATTGCACCACCTTAAATTTTCAACTTAAGAGATTTCCTACTTCAATGTAAGCAAGTTAAGGTTGCAACTTAAAGAATTTATTACAACAACTTAAGTAGTTGCTTTATAAACTAGTTAAGTTGTTGCAACACCTCAAGATTGCAACTTAAGTAGTTGCTTCATCAACTACAACTACTTAACTTGCTACAACATACTAAGGTTGCAACTCCAAGGATTTAATGTAACAACTTAAGTAGTTGCTTCATCAACTACTTAAGTTCCTGCAACAACATAAGGTAGCGATTTAAGGCATTTGCTGAAGAAACTTAAGCAGTTGCTTCACAAGAAGACTTGAAGAACTTGAGAGAGAAAGACGAGGAAGATAATGAGAATAGACGATTGAATTAAAGTGACAGATAAAAGTGAAAAATATATTTAAATTGAGTCAACAGTTGGGAAGTCCAATAATGGAATGGGGTTAATTTTAGAAAGTTTTAAGTATTACACTTTAATCCCATTTAAATTTATTCTCAATTTAAATGAGGCTTTGACCTTGGCTGGTCAAAGTTGTTACTCCTTTTAATTTAATAACTTATTTGATACCCTTTCCTCAATTTTCTCAAAACAAAACTTAGAATTGATACATGGAAGTTGTGTTCTTTTTCATTTCCCACAAATTTTCATTTGCTAGAGGTTAGGCAAGCAAAGCAGCAGCTACGACTGAAATCATTTGAGAATCCTAAAGAGCATATTCCCTTGACATTTTAAACATAGGAATGGCAATGGTGCGGGTGCGTGACAAATTCACATAAACCCACAAAGACTTTGCCCCACCTCTCCCGCCCCGTATTAACCCACCCTGCAAAGCTTTAACAATCTGTCGCTGCAAACAGTATCTCACTACAACAAAAACAACTTTTAGCGGCATTAAATATTGACATTAAATAAAGAGTGCTAAAGTCTTTACTGACATTAGTTAAGTGTCATTAGAACCAATGTCGCTAAAGGCTCTAGGAACATATACAGAGAGTGCTAATTGCCGCTAAAAATACATATTTAGCGGCTAATGATAATTTTTGATGTAGTGCCTTGACACTTGAAGTATAATAATGTTATAATTTATTAACTTTCTGTTTCTCATACACTTTAATTTCTTATATTTAATAATCTATTTAGTTCTCATGGTCAGTTTAGAACATATATACACATTAAAAAAAAATTCCTTACAGGGAAATAAAAGAAAACTAAAGGTTTGATTGTAACTCCATTTTGCATCAATTAGATGTGCATATTTCCATATAAAACACTTTTTAAAACACAATAACCTCTTGATTCTAGTCATTCAATAGATAATCAAGTAACTATATATGTAACTAAGTTTCAAATTTAAAGACAACTTATAGTCACAAAGTCAATGTATTATGAACTCAGCATCAGTCACAAGCTTCCTACATTTGATTCACTTTTTGTTTTGTCCAGTGCTACTTCTGGATCGAAAAGGAGTGGTGGTCAGTGATGTTTCACCTCAACTTCAAGCCATTGTTGGTAAACTCGCAATGCCCAAGACAGGGGAAAAGGATCCCTAGTTGTATCAGATTGTGAAGGTGTTATGCATGTACTGGTAAAAAGATCAATGCTTGAAGTCAAATCTAAGAAGAAAAGATTGTGGTTAAAGTATTAAGAACTGAAAAAAATATTAAATAACAAGTCATTGAAAAGTTAATTACTATTTATTTCGTTCCATAACCAAGTACAAGCACACATCAAAGCTTCCAAAGTAGTAGGATGGAGTCTACTACGATGTGGACTAACCAATCTCCCACTATGGCTTGTATGAAGATGATTAAAAAGGGTCAGCATAAAGAGGTTGTTTGGAAGGAGTGAGGCACTGAAAATAGTTGTAGATCTGGTTTATGTTTAAATCATGCTAAGTATATAGGCCATTCCAATGTTGATAGAATCAACACCACATAATAGGGTTAGTGACTAATCAAATGTATGTTAAAAATAATTAATACTCCATCAGTTTAGAAAACTAAGTTGGCCAACACTCAGATTCACACAAAAATCACGTTCAGACAGATCAAAATTGGAGCTCAAACACCATAATCTACTGCACACCCATACCAATTGCAACTTGATTTTGTAGAAGAAGATAAATCGATCACAGTTAAGAGTATTATTGAATATGGAGAGATGAAGAAAACTATTGCGCAATAGAGAGATCCGTCCTTCTGGCTTCTGCTATGGAGCTAACGTCATCTTGTTGCAATCAGCAACTTGCGAGAGACAAAGAGGGAACCCTAACCTACTGAATATGGAGAGATGAAAAATATCATGGGCGAGAGAGACCCGTCCTTCTAGCTTCTACTATGGAGTTGTCGTTGACTCATCATCACTCGTCTTGTCGCAATTAGCAACTCATAGAGATAGAGAGGGAGCCCTAATTTCTATTTCTGTATAGGAGTTCAAAAGAAATTACCCCAACCCGCACCCGCCCCCACACAAAATTAAAGATTTTAGTTTAAACCCGTCCCGCACCCACCCCACACCCGCATTTATAAAAACCCGCCCCGCCCCGCCCTGTATTTGACCAAACCTGCCACACCCTACACCCGCCCTGCCCATTGTCATTCCTACTTAAACATCAGCATTATAGACTTAATTAACCTGTGTATCAGCACTTTAATATGCTATTTCTAAAGGATGCTGGTTTCCATGCGCAGTAGGCCGAGTCTTCTATGCATCAAAGTGCAAAGAAAATGTCTAATAATATATATTCTTGTACATGTTAACCTCTGTTTTCACCAGAATAAATTTAGAGGTTCTACAATGCTTTCTTGCATCTGCTCATGCACAGTCACAATCAACAAACTAACTGGAATAAGCACCAAATGTGGCGATCTTTCCATCATCAGCAAACTTTGAGGCGGGTGATATTACAACATCTGGTCCACGGCAAATTAAGGACCTCTGCAAGAATTAAAAGGACATGTTATCTCTAGAATGAAGTTTCAACCAGAGGCAAAACAACCGAGACAGAAAGGGAAAACAAGAGGAACAGACAAGAAAATACAAGGAACAAATGAAAACCGTGATGGAAAACGAACAAAATGACCAAAAGGGGAAAGAATTTAACACGTAAACACACACACAGAAACCTGTTTTAAACAATATAAAAACAAGCTACGCTGGAAATCAGACAAGAAATAATGTGTCTAACATAAGCTGAATCAACCAATTGATTTATCTAATCATCTGACCTACATCATAAACTTCAAAATCGTAAATTTTCCTTTCCTTTTTAACATAACCAAGCAGGTAATAGTAATTACTGGTTAGTGCTCAACCAGACCAAAAACATTGGTGAATCATCTTTTTAAACAAAGGCTAATGCATTGATATTTGTTAAGATACTAATGTTAGTCAAACATTTGAACATGGTATCAGAACTAGTTGAGGTTCTGGGTCAATGCCTCACTGCCACCCACTATCTAAAAGAATTGCCACGTGTTTGGCTCATAAAAAAAAATCAAGCCCACACATGAGGGGGCATGTCACAAGAATATTTGAGTAAATAAAAGAGTGCTCTCTCTAGTAGCTTAGCTTTTAGATGAGATCATCCTACACTTCAACAATAACTGTAGGAGCTAATGTCAAAAACACACTTGCTCTTTGGAATATGGATTGACTTATTTTAAGTGTTTTTGAGCCAAAATAACTTTTAAGCACCTTTTTCGTATTTGGATAAATTAAGAAAGTGCTTACAAGTACTTGATTAAAATGATAACATTAAGTCATAAGCCATAAATTAGGATATCTAACTTATGACGTTTGATTTAAGTCAAAAGCCAATCCAAACAGGCTCTTAAACTATCACTTTTTCGCGAGTTTCATACATCAACCATCCATCGTTCCCTTTTCCTACTTAAATTATCCCTCCCTTTATATTAAAACACACCTTGATGTTGAGCTACTAGTGCGTCTGGAACACACTCCATTTTAGTTTTTTAAAATGAGTGCCAAGTGGCACTCCACATGGCTAATTTTGTCCACCTAATCTAACTAGGATGTTTATTAGTGAATTTAATTAAATGGGTAAAAGTGCTCAACCTCGATTTTCCCCCTTTAACCTTCAATTTTCAGCGTAAATTATTGTTTAGCTTTTGATTTTGGTAATAAAAAAAATCTAGGATTCTATAAGATTCTAGGGTTGGTAAATTTTAGGATACATTGCGGGATTGTATAAAATTCTAGGGTTCAGGGAGGAGAAGAAGAAAATTTGAGAAATGATGAAAAAATGAAGGGGGGAAGAGACCGATTAAAAGAAAAGAGAAGATAGATTTTTTAAAATGAATTATTCAGCTCAATTAGTTGTTATACATGCAACCTTGACCGATATTTATGGGTTTATAAGCTCCCACAGGCCAATTATCAAGTCATTCAGATTTTTGGCCAACACAGCAATGAGGTGTGTATTACTACAAGAGGTGTGACAGTTTAGATAGGAAAAAGCAACAATGAATAGTAGAAGTATGAAACTCGCAAAAAAGCGATAGATCCTTTTTGTTTGAAAAAGATTTCCTCCCAAAAATATCACTGAAAAACACCAAGTATGGTTCTTTTGTAAAATTTGAAACACAGATGTTGCTGAGATGGATTTTAACAAGGTACACCCTCCTGAATCACTAGAACATGAGTAATACTAAAACAAGAGGGACAGTTATATTCAACTCAGCATCCATTATATGTTAAGGGCAGAGAAGAAAGTGACCTCGATAAAAGTAGGAAACATCTTCTCACATCATAAACTTATTTTTCTTCTCTGCTGGCTTAAGAATTTGGAAAGAGCACATCAAGTTTTCATCAACACTCATCATAGCACCGGCATTGTCAAACTCTCCGCAGTAGTTGGGAGCTGAAAAAATGGTGACAAGCTGCCTCTCAGCAAAGAATTCATAACCATCCTCCACGACCTGCAAAAAAAGATGCAAATCAATTACCTCAGAGGAGAAGCACACAAGGACATACAAAACAGTGTTCCTTTACCTGATGGGCACGACAGACAAGGTCCAAGTCATGCTTTGACAAAAACTCAGAAACTTTATCAGGGCCAAAGGTGTATGAAACTCCCCTATCATTCATGCCCCACCCCTTTACATCTTTACCAGGATCCGACCAAAGTAAATCGCAAAGCAAACCAGTGTCTGGGATGGCAGTTGGACGTGGTAAGTTCCGAATCTGATCCAAACTAGAAAGATCAGGGGACAGACCCCCATGCATGCATAATATCTTCTCATCGATAAGTGCTGCTACAGGAAGACAATTAAAACAGTCTGTAAAGGACTTCCATAGTTTCACATTGAACCGGCGCTTACACTCATCATAGAATCCGTATATCCTATTTATAGAAGCACATTCATGGTTTCCTCTAAGCAAGAAAAAGTTCTCAGGATACTTAATCTTATAGGCAAGCAAGAGGCATATTGTTTCCAAGCTCTGCTTCCCACGATCTACATAATCACCCAAAAATAAGTAGTTAGCCTTCGGAGGAAAACCACCATATTCAAAAAGCCTCAATAGATCACTGTACTGCCCATGAATGTCACCTGAAACGAAAAAATAAACAATTACATGAGTAAGGAGGAAATGACAAAACTGAAGCGAGTAAAGGGAAATAGGTGGCTTACCCTTGACTCTATTAAATAGATAAATCTGGTTTCAAGTCAGATTAGCACAACATTTTGTACTATTACTTCATTTGTGAGACTATCAATTTTACCTCCTCTCAAAAGTTCAGTGAATTTAATATCACTAATTCTCATATCATATCAAACATTTTCACATACTTGCATACTAACTTCTAGTTTTGATAATCCTGGTGTCTGGATCAGCATCAGCTTGCGTGCACCTCAACTAATACCGTGGGGTACTTGCTACCTCTCATTGACACAACAATACAAGTATGGGGTAACTCTATCCACTAAGGTTTGACAGATGCAAGAAATAACCTAATGTATTTTTCCTCCACTGGAATTTGAAGCTAAGACCTCATGGTTCTCAACCCACTTCATGGACCATTAGGCCACACCTTGGGTGCTTGACCTTCTTTTGTTAAAAAAAGGTGGTGAAAAGCATGCATTAAAATTTGTGTGGGCCATATTTACCAAATGTATGGAGCAAAAACTTCTAAACAAACAAATTTTCTACTGTCTTATAGATACTCTAGAGCTTGTAATAGAGACTCAGTGTCTTCTATGTACTTTTGCTTACACCAAAAAAGAAAAAGCAAAATACAACTTAGTTTTATCTTCTGGATTGAGTTGCTTTTTCCCCTCAAAACATCTTAAATTCCTTTCCTTCCATATAATCCACCATATGCAGGCCGGGATCATGTTCCATCTTTTCTGAGCTGTTGAGCCTAGACTTCTGTACCAGCTAGACAGAAACCTTTGTGTATCCACTGGCATTTTCCAACTTAAGGATACTAAATAGTTGGAAAGATGCCACATAATTGTGTAGTCACTCTGCAATGCATAAAAAGGTGACTATTCATTTCTGCAATTTTCCCACATAAATGACAGATAGAACAAAGTAGTACTCCCCTGCTCTTAAGCCTTCTTGTGTCAAACAAGCCTTCATAGCTACTAATCAAGCAAAACATGCCACACTACATTGAATCTTGCCCTCCATATATGTTTCCAGGGCCACTGCTTAGTTAGAATAGTGGCATGATTCAACATGTGATAAGATGTTCTAATGGAGAGAACTCCAGAGTTATGCCCTAGCCGCCATATTCAGTCGAGACTTGGTTAGTTCCGGTGAACTGGTTTAGTGCGTTGTGAAATTCAGCAAACCTGTCAACTTCCCAATCAATCAAAAAATACCTTGAAACTTCAATTCCATCCCGTGTATTCCATACTTCACTAATAGTTGCCTTTTGTTGTTGATTTAAGGTGAAAACATCATAAATAAAAGCTTGAGAGTGTCATGTCCTACGTCAGTTGTCTTTCGAGAAGGATATTTTTTGCCCATTTCCAACACTGACCTAATCTTGATTCTAGAAATTTGCATAGATTTCCCGACATCAACACCATGAACAGTAGTCCTCTCTTTTGTCTTCCATGTGCTGTCTTCTCCACATTTTCCCATGATTACATTTGATCGGCAGCAAGAAATGCATGGTTTTAGCTATATTCCGCAGCATATTTTGTACGTGTTAGTGTGTTTGAGTTCCAATCTGTTCACTTTATCCCTAATATTTGTATTTTCTTGTGTAGGACATGATTTTGAACACATGGAATGATATGAAGCTAAAAAGGATCAAATATGGCTTTGAAGTATGAATGAAGTCAAAGAAAACTAATTGGGATCATGTCCAGGGGCCGAGGACAGAGAGCGTGCACCATTGGCCGACTAAAGACATTTTGACACTATTTTATGCCCCCAACCAGCGCATGGAAAGTCAAGCCTTGGGATGTGGTGGTGTCTTTTTGGGACTACCTGCATAAACTCATGTACTCTTGATGTTTCGTCTAGGCAATGCACATGGTCACACATACCACGACATAGCAAGGTGTTTTTGGTCCTATCCAAGTCTGTTTGGTTTGGGAAAGGTGCTTTAGTCCTAAGGCGTGCCCACACATTATAGACACAATTTTGAAGGAAAATTAGACTAGTCAGAAGGAGAGAAACCAGAGGGAGTGATTCGAGATTCCACGAGGGAAAGAACAGCTTGAGCTACATCAATCCTAAGCTTTCTTTCATCTCCTCTTGGGGATCGTTTGGTACGTGGGGATATCCCAGGTTTATGTTTGGAATTAGATTTATACTATGTTTGGTTGATGGTAAAAACTTATCCTGATTCCTGCCGAGAGGGTTTGGGAATTCCGCGAGGGGAGGAACGATTTGAGCTACATCAATCTTAAGCTTTTTCTGATGTCACCAAGAAAACCAGCGACTATCCAGCCTCTACAACTATTTCACGCATTAACATTCTAGTGTCATCCATCCTATTTGAGGAGCTTCCCACCTCTCTCTGATAAACCCAACCCCCCTACCCCTTTTTTTTTGTCACCAACAAGGTCGCTGAAGGAGACATTCTAACCCCATGCCCCATCGCTATAAATGAAACAATGTTCTGAAACTTATCCACCATCCCGAAAGAGCTTTGACCCGTCCCCAGCCCATTCGGGTGGCGTTTTTACTCTTGATTAATACAATTGTTACCTTTCTCAAAAAGAGAAAAAGGAATGACAAATAACTCATAATAATCAATACAATAGTGGTTGCATAGTATAAGTGGAACATAAATAAGAGCAAGTGAGAGCACCCTCAATAATATGTGTCACACTCGAGATAAATTCTCACTCACATATAGAAATAGGAAAGTTGCCTCTTCCTTGTCCTACAGAAGACATCGGGCCAACAAATGGTGTAAGCATTTTCTATCTTGTTTTTCTATATTGTAATTAAAACATGGTAAGTTACCACATCTACATTCCATTACCTTTGCCGAAGAAGTAGCGGGGAGAGGAGAGATTAGACATGATATGACGCAACTTCAGCTTAATGAGAACATGACCTTAGAAAGGAGGTTATAGAGGAAACAAATTAGGGTAGAAGGTTAGTTTTCTATGAAAATGGTAACATGTGTATATATATTAGATCTGCACCACAACAGTGCTGTCTACAATTACAAAAACCCAACCACGATTAGGACTGCAGCTTCAGAAGGAACCTATCATATCAACTAGTGATTCAATCTCCTGTACATAGTTTAATTTACACCAAAAATGAAACAAAAGAATACAATTCATCTTGACTTTCTGCACAGGATTGCTTTTGTCTTCGAAATTTTTTTTTTTTTTTGAAACTGGTAATGTTGTATTCCTCAGCATTAAGGTATGCTGGAGACCTCCAAAAAGGTAGTAACAAGCTAAAACAAGAGACTAATTACAGTAATCCTAAAAGATCTACTGTAGTTCCTCTCTTTCCAAATTGTCCACCATTTACAAGCTGTGACAAGGTTCCACCACTTCTTTTGTCTCACTGCACCACCATTATAGTTCCAGCACTTCAAAAAATCACAACTTGTTGCTGGCATAGACCATCTTAGTCTTGCCAAGTTCAAAAAAAGTTGCCAGAATTGTCCAATTATAGGACAATGTAGAAACGGATGGCTATTGTTTTCTCTGGCTGCACCACACATACAACATCTAGAGCATAGATGAAATCCTCTTCTTCTTAAGTTTTCTTGAGTGAGACATGATTCTCTTGCTACAAGCCAAGAAAATTATAAGACTTTGTAAGGGGCTTTAGTCTTCCAATGAACTTCCATGGCCACTGGTCAAATTGTGTATTTTGTCTAATCTGGTAGTTGTATGCATGCAGATTTGACAGTGTAGACTCCATCACTTCCAGATTCCCAGCACAACGTATCCTCAGATTCTTTGAAGACACGGAAAGATTCTAAGTCATGAACAAGTCCACGACTCTTCCCAATTCCCAATCATGTAATAATCTTCTAAAAGTGATATTCCACCCATGTACTCCTTTAGCTGATTCAAGTTTAATGTCTGGCAAACTAGCAATAGTGTAGAAATCAGGAACAAAACTTTTAAAGGACCATGTCCAAGCCAGTTGTCATGCCAAAAGAGAATGTTCCTCCCGTTGCCAACTTCAAAGCTCATATTTCCAGCCAAAGATGGCCAAAAGGATCTAATGGCTCTCCAAACTCCAACTCCTTTAGTTAGATAGTTAAGCGTATCTCACTTATTCTTAGTACTATTAGCAGTAATATTAGTCGTAGTATTACTTGTGTAGTTTCTTGTCCTTTTAAGTTTGGGTTAATATCTGTTGTATTTTGTACATCGATTATCGCTACATCTTGTTATGACTACTGTTAAGGAAGATTTGTCGGGCTGTTTATAGTATAATGTCATGACTTCTTCATTTCCATTATTTTCAATTGAACAAGCTCAACCTTGGGGAAAAAAGGTGGTAGGCTGATGTTGAACGTTATACTGCTTTGGGCTACTTTTTTCTCGAGTTATGGGTCTACCGAAAACAACCTCTCAACCTTTACGATAGGGCTAAGGTTTGTGTACACTTTACCCTCACAGACCCCACTTGGTGGGATTATACTGGGTATGTTGTTGTCTATTTTATCATCTTTAGTTGTGCATCATTTTTTGTGTGATTTTATTACTTTGCCTATCTTCAGGAACAGGACTAACTTGAGTGTCATAGTAGGTTTCCAGTTTACCATATTCTGGTGCTAACAATCGATGCCTTTGGTGATTTTTCACAAGGTATCATTTGAATTGTACTTAAGAGCTAGAGAGCACAAGAACCAATCAACGTGCCCATTCAATATTACGAGAAACTATGGACGGTGCACACGCCAACTGAAAATTGTTGCAAAAGATGGTTACATGGGTTAACCAGCAGCAAAACAAAAGGATCCTACCCAATCTAGGTCGGCATCTACCTCCATTGATTATCCAATACCATCCACGGTGTTAACAATGATCAGACGACATTGCTCAACACCAACTAACAGAGGCCAAAGCTTTCAATTGATATCCCCAATGATGGACTGGTGGTAGAGCAAAGCTAGTGTTGCTCATTTGGTATACTACTTTCTAGTCTAGTATAAATATCACTCATTAGTTTTCTTGGGTTGAACATGAAAATTGAACTTTTTTATTTATCGATAATGCAAAATGTAGTGAGACTTATATAATATTTGGTGGTACGTTAAACTCTGCTTTATTTTACATAATAACTGAGAATACTACAAATGAATCAAGCAGAGCAGATAACGAAGTAAAACCAAGAAAATTTGGATGGTTTAAAAAATCTAATTTTAGTTATATGCAATAGATTAACCGAGATATCAGCATGATATAATTTTTCTAAAACAACATTGACACCCCTTGTTTGATTGCAACTAACTAATGACTTCATATTTGAAGAATGGACTATAAGCAACATCTCTAATCTAACTGGAGGAATAACCCCTGCACAAACAAACGCTACTTCAATGGGTCACTGCAAAAGCATTGAATAAAAAAGAGCTAACGCTGAAAGCAGTAAGAGTTAAAACTAGTATAAGTGGACTGCTAACCAAAACAAATGTGTAGCAACAGAGGAGACAAAATAAGCATGATACCATGATAACTGCCATAGTTAGTAGTGAACCAGATGCAGAAAGAGATGGTGAGCTGTTGACTAGAAAATCGTAACCTACCCTCTGATGAACCAAGGAAAGTAGTCAAATAAGGCGATCTAAAGTAAAAAGAGTAGATGTAAACAGTAACCACTTATGACAGTGGCAATGGATCACCCACCACCGGAAGGAACACTTAACGTAGATAGTGGATCTTCAATCGTGTTAAAAGAGTATTCTTTACTTGGATTGTCAGAGGTTCAAAATCCCTAGAGGAGGTCAACTTCAGGGGTGGTGGTTTTTCCTCAATGTAAACCATTATAATTTTGTTCCCACCCGTAATACACACCTCAACATTCTAAAGACACAAGCCAGAATCAAACACATTATGCATCAGTATATTATTTTCTTGATACATCGTTTTGCATTAGTATGATCCAAGCAACTTGTCAAATTTGCACATATCACCAGAACTTTCTCTTATGAATCTTCTTTTACTTATAATATCTAGGGTGAATCAGACTCTGTAGGGATTCAAATACAACCACTGTTGTCTTAAAATTTCACCAGGTTCATTAAGCTGGAGAACAAGAACTCTCATCCCCAGTTTTGCAACTACAACATAGGATATTTCAAGAAGCAAGTCATGGGTTGACAGTCTTGCAAACATCAAAATTTAGAAAAAGCACTAGGGCAGCGGCTATGTCACAAAAGTACTTTATGATTTGATTTCTTCACAACCAGAGCTCATTCCTTCAAACAAAAAACAGATTACCTAGAGGACAACCTTGCATGTCCTTTTTCCCTCTAAAGCAGAATCAAAGGGCCTATATAATCTAAACTAGCCATTAAAACAACTCGCAACCATAGAGCAAAAAGCAACAAAAATAGCAAACATGGGGTGATACAAAACTACCACAAAAGATAGAGAGAGCAAGAGTTAAAAGGAGAGTTCCCCTAGATAGGGTATATTACCGCAAATTTTGATGGGTGCTTCAAGTTCAAGGAGATTTGGTTGTTTAACGAAGATATCCCTAGAAGAAACACATAGTTGCTTGATTTCAGACTCGGAAAGCTGCACCAACTTGCCAGGCTTCGATAATCGGACTTCTAATAGCTTCTCAATAATCCTATCGACAGCTGCAGGGTCCATGACTCCCCCTGCTACCGTCCTTCAATCCCCCAACACCGATTAACCCCTATTCTCGTTACTGTCAAAGGGAAACCAGGACTCAAAAATGCTTTTCTTATTCTAATGTTCATGAATCAAAATTGACTAGTCGCCTCTAATATAAGGGTGTCAAACAACATTTCAAAAATCGAAAAAGTTATATTTGCCCTTGTACTTTTCTGAAAAGGGTTATATTTATGGTTCGTCATACCTTTTTGATATATTTGTCTTTACTATCCAACTTTAGACACATATTTGTCCTTGTACAGTTAAGTATCATGTCACCATTTTCATCGGCCTAGGTGGTACCTACATGGCTCCATGTGTATATATTTTTATTATAGTTAAAAATTTACTTTCTATTTAGTATTAAATCTGACCCAACCTTCACGACCCATTAGCCCTAATTTCAATACACATTATCTTGCATCACATTAGATAAAACGCTTCGTACAGAGAGATAAGAGTCATTCATATCTTGATTTAGAGAGAAGATCTAACAAAACGTAAGATTTGTATCTTTAAATAATCTCTTTACCTTTTTTGTATTGTATTTGTTACTTGAATCTTTTCAAAATCTGCATAAAAGTTTAAAATCTGTATATATCTCTTTTATTGCTATTAGAGTTCGTCGAATTTTAGTATTTATGAACTTGATAACTGTTAAAGTTTGCTATTTTTGATGTGTTTGCAGGTTCTATCTCTTCGCTCTAGGGTAGAAATAGGATTGTCGATTTCTGAAATTTATGGACCTTTTGATAACTGTTGGTTTATCCCTTTTTGGTTTAGAATTTGGAGTTTAGTGGTTTAGATTTCAGTAAATATAAATTACAACGGAATTGTTGGTTGTATGTAGGGTATCCATTCCTAATTGAATGACATAATGTGAATATTATAATGTTAGTGAGACTTTTTCCTTTTTCCTGGTTTGTGGTCCTTGAATGTGTTACCAGTGTGTGGTCACGTAAGTTCACATGTTTTGAACTTAAAATAAGAATTTGTGGTCAAGTAAAACTTTGTTCACCATTTTGTGGTCAAGTAAGTCCAATCTTTGGCATTTTTCTAAACACGACGAGCATTTAAAACTCCAATGTTTATACAATGCGTGTAGGATAGATGAAATCTATTTCCCCATCCAACCTCAACTAATGCTTCAGGCTTCAACATCATTATAAAAACTAGAAACACTATAGGATTACATACTCGAAGCGAATAGGTTCTCCTAATATATTAGCTCTCACTATATCTACTACAACCCTTTCAAACATGATATAAGAGAATTCATCATATTAATAGGTTTTCAATCTAATTTTATTCAGTTCTATTTGGAGTAGTTCTCTTAAGCTGATAATTTTTGAACTTATTTTGCAAATTTATTTTAGCTGAGTATTTCTAACCAAACTGTCTGTAGAATGTAAATATCTAGTGATGAGATAGTAGTACCATTTCCTATGGGCTGATTAGCCCATATACATTGATGATTCTTCTCAAATCTTAATTAGATGAAAAATCTTTATGTGAAAGCTAAAAGTTTGTTGAACCTTATATAAATGAAATATATAATGATCACCTAAGTTGCTCAGACTTTCAAAAAATGTTACCGCACCCGTGTCAGAGCCTTCAAAAATGCACTGTTTTTGGAGGATGCGATGCATATCCGATGACATTTTTGAAGTGTCTAACCAACAAAGATGATCACTATACCATTTCGTTTACTTAATACACAACATTGACAATAATATGTTGGTTCACTGTTGCTAGTTACATATGTCTCTTTTTCTATTTTGTTTTGTAGGATATTAAAGATGACCTTGGTGGACATAATCTTCAATTATGGTGGAGAGTGGATTAAAAATCTAAATATCATGTATTCACATAAACTAATTGATACTTGGACAAGTTATGATCCTAACCTCCTTTCCTTTATCGATATAGCAAATAAGTACACCAGTAATGTAACGATCCTCAAAATAAAGTAGGATAAAGTAGAGCCTCACATGGGTTTTATGCATTAATAACTTGTCAAAATAATGAAGAATAGCCTTTTAAGTCAGTTTTTAAAGAGTTTGGAAGTCAAACGTCAAGGGACGACCAAGACGTTCGAAAACTAGTCTTTTACGTGTTGGTGTGTTCTAGTATGTTGTTCGTTTTTTATGTGTTGTTTGGAGTCTAAAATCAGTGGAGGTGACCCTAGTGTCTTAATAAATGTTTTTAGGGTCAAAACGTTCGGATACGACGCCTCGGGGGCCACCCTAAGGGTCCTCGAGGAGGACCCCAACCTTGGCCAAGCAAGCTGCCAAGACAGCTTGAAGTTGTGCTTGGAGGGAGCATGTCCGCGTCGCAGACTAGCTCCACAAAGGGCCAAATGTTTGGTCCACGTCGCGGACATGTCGCGGACTCTACTGTCTCGGATTTAATTTATGAAAACTTATGGGAACACCTCCGCATCACGAACTTGTTTTCCGACGAAATCTGCGAAAATAAAACTAAAGGGCCAAATGTTTGGTCCACGTCGCGGACATGTCGCGGACTCTACTGTCTCGGATTTAATCTCCAAAAAAATTTTGGGAACACCTCCGCGTCGCGAACTTGTTTCCCGACGAAATATACAAAAATAAAACTCAAGTTGGACTTATTTAAAAAGGTCCAACTAAGTGAGGGATAGTTT